GGGTTATCTTAAAATATTCATTTGCGCTCGCGACTTTTCTTGGCGGTTTTCTGGACTCTCGCCAAATATATAAACCTTTATTGCTACCCAATTTACGACCCACTTTTTTCAAAATTTTGCCTACCCCTAATTCAAGTGTCTAGATTCCAAATATGTAAAAAAAAATATATGTTTTATCAGAGAAAGTACGTTTTTGTTTCTGATTTTGTAACTTAATTTATAGTTAGCACTAATTAATTAGCATATTTGAGGTCACCCCCGGGAACCATTAAGATTGACTTTTAGTTCGTGAAAATCCGATCATTAGAACGAAAGTTATTCAGGGTGATATCTTTTTTTTTTGCGGTCTGTACATTGCAAATGCACAAAATTCTAAAAATTCAAAACAATGATTCAAATCCATATAAAAACCTTTTTTTTAAAAAAAAAATTACATCTTTTTAGTAAATACTATGTCATTCAACTAAATTTGAATTCAAATAAATGACATGTAATTCGTTAAACCTATTAGAAATGTGCTATAGTATAATTCGTAATATAAATCCAAAATCGTCAAATAAATTCGTAATATATAAATTCGTGAAAAAAGCGCTTTCGACAAAATACTAAAATAGAGATCTATCGACAAAGACTACTCACTTCTGCCTAGCTTAATAGTATGAGATTGTCACAGCTGATTTTCTCTGGTTATTTCAGTTTCCGTTTTTAAAAGCGCTATATGTTGAACCACCTCAGCTAGATTTGGCATGTGACATTTTTAGCGGCAATTATTGATTGATTCGCCGTGTAAGAGAAATAGTAACGTAAACAAAACAAAGCAAAGGTTGCCACCAGCGGAAAATAAATACAGCCAAAATTTGGGAGCCACGTAAGAGAATTATATATATTAGATATAAACTAGTTGAATTAGAAAAACATCGCAATATGTTGCTAAATATCGATATTTTTAACAATCGTGAATTTGAAGTTCGTGCCGACAGGTTATAGTAGTCAATGTTCATATTGGTGAACACCAGCTAAAGTTGTAGTCAGTATATGATCGCTATAACCGATAATTCAACAAATGATATTACATTTGGTAGGAAAATAATTTAAAATTTTTTTTTTCATAGATATAACCTTTGTTTTAAGTTTACCTGCGGATGAATATCTTGATTCCCTTGCAACTCCGTCTGTTTATTTTATCCTACACGACTCTAGCAGAATCGTGAATCCTTTTAGGTATGGTATTCACATAAAAGCACCAGGAAATCATCTAATACAAGTCAATGATTACGTAAGTATTATTTATTGTTGTATTGATTGACGTGTTTATAAACTACTCAAATATTCAGGTTACGAAGGTAAAAGGTAACGGAGGCGTTTACCATACTTGAAGAGGTTTCCTTTAATTATCCTTCAGTTTCATCCTGTTGGAAGCTTTCGCCGACAGTTTTTTTTTTCTTAATTATTGTCAGTTTATCTCTGTTCTTAATAAGTCCGATTTAATTTCATTGCCATTTAAATGTTTAAAATTCATAATCTAATAAAACAGGAAAATTAATGAACAACATCGGTTGGAGAAATTTAGCACTTGCTACTGTAGCAGAATTTTTTTTTTAACTGCATTATGTTCGTTTTCTTTTTCCAGTCAAGACTTGCAATGCAGCGCCGAGAAAGCTCTAACTATTAAATACATGGTTGAGTTCTTGAAATATGAAAGAATTACTGTATTTTTAGTATGCTTGTTAAATTTTCTATTGGAAATAATTTCTCAGATAAAATACTAATGCTTTATAAAAAAAAAAAATTAAAAAAATAACGAAATGTTTTTATTTACTAACGTATCACAAATCGAAACATTTCCAAATGAATTAAAATTGTTTTGGAGAATTTGGATTTAACTAGTGCTTGCACTAAACCCTTCAATTTCGTGGAACTGCTTTTGGAGAGGAAATCACGAAAACATCCCATGGTTAGCATGACGGCAAGGGGACTCGAACTCATGATCCATCTACCACTGAGGATATTCTACGTCAGCACTGTGGTTGGTGCGAGCCAGGTGTGATATTCGTATCGATCAACCATCACTGGAATTCAAATCTGGGTCACCTTATTTGGAGGCGAGCTCTCTTTATCCTTAACCACCACAGCTCTCAAAGTATTTTTGGACGTTAAATGTAGACATTTTTCGAAGATTATTTCATATTCCACGCAGACCGTTTGCTATTGTAAGAGTAGATGAAGTTGCCGAAGTAAAAATTTTTCTTCATACAATAAAATGAAAGTTGACCGCTAGAGTGCTCTTGCTTGGGGTAACTATTTTTGCCCGTCATAATTCGTATTTATTGAACTCTTAATCTTCTCTCTTATTATCAGGTGAAAATTTTTTGTTTTCGAGTTATATTTATTATTCTTATTGTAATTTTCTTGTTATTAATCCTAATTATGGAATAGTTCCTTAGTTTAAGCAATTCATCTAAAACAACCAAAATGTCAATAAATATTTAATATTATTTAAAAAAAATGGGAATTTATTTTTTCACAGATCGAGCAATATCTACTTCCCTATCCATATGATACAAATTGTCTATTGCTAAATCTTGAAGTCGATACGGATGAAAACTTTGACTCAATGGTAAAGACCTGTATATATCATTTTCATTGTATAACCACATTTTATTGAAAATTAGTATTTTAATGAACATTAGTATTTTAAACTATATAGATATTTTTAATTTATATCAGTATTTTAATGTATATTAGTATTTTATTTAACATTCCTTTCTATTCAATTGTAGTATTTTATTACATATTAATGTTCTATTGTAGCACATGTTTCGATCTAAAGCAGTGTTTTGTTATATGGTACTACTTTATTATATAGCAGTAATTTATTGTGGACCTGATTTTCCCTGATATAAAACAAGCAGAGTAATGATACAAGGAGGTTCAGAAAAAAAAAACGTTTAGGCACTTTTATCAGAACAATTTTTTTCTTCTTAAGTTGTAGTATTTTGTTCTATTTTTCAATGTAGTTGCAATAGCTGATAGGGCACTTTCTTTAGTCTGTGACCAGTTTTTTTTCACTCCACTGTTACAGTTTTTACACTCGGATGCTGTACCAGTTTCTTCACTCGGATGTTGTACCAGTTTTTTCCCTCGTATATTGTACTAGATTTTCTAATCGGTTGTTGTATCAGTTTTTCATTAAGATGTTGTAATATTTATTTTTCCCAGATGCTGTATTAATTTTTTTTTTTACTCTGATGTTATATCGGAATTTTCACTCGGATGCTGTACCAGTTTTTTTTTTATTACTCGGATGTTATATCAGAATTTTCACTCGGATGTTGTACCAATTCTTTTTATTACTCGGATGTTATATCGGAATTTTCACTCGGATGTTGTACCAGTTTTTTTTTATTACTCGGATGTTATATCAGAATTTTCATTCGGATGTTGTACCAATTCTTTTTATTACTCGGATGTTATATCGGAATTTTCACTCGGATGTTGTACCAGTTTTTTTTAATTACTCGGATGTTGTACCAGTTTTTCTTTATTACTCGGTTGTTATATCGGAATTTTCACTCGGATGTTGTACCAGTTTTTTTTTATTACTCGGATGTTATATCGTAATTTTCACTCGGATGTTGTACCAATTCTTTTTTATTACTCGGAAGTTATATCGGAATTTTCACTCTGATGTTGTACCAGTTTTTTTTCACTCAAATGTTATGCCAGTTTTTTCTCTTGGATGTCGTAAAAGAATTGTTCTCACTCGGACGTTGTACCAATTCTCTTCACTAGGATGTTATACTAGTCCTTACCCTTGGATGTTGTGCAATTTTTTTTTTCATTCGGATGTTATTTTAGTTTTTTCATTTGGATGTCTTACCAGTAGTTTTTCTCAGAAGTCGTACCAATTTTTTTCACTCTGATGTTATGCTAGTCATTTCACTCGGAGTTAAACGAGTTTTTTCTATTTGGATGTAGTACCAGTTTTCCCATATGGGTGTCGTACGGATAAGCTAGAATAATGTCCCTGGTTTGCAATGAGTGAATTACACTTGCTAAAGTGTAATTCACTTATTGAAAACCAGGTGGTTGCAAAAAGGTTACTTTTTGGTGGAATTTCATTCACTTCTTCGTACAAATAAAAATAAAGTTATTTTTAATTAACTTTAAAACGAAAGATATTTTAGGATTACTTTGGTACTCAAATGACGAAGACTTAAAATTTTAAGTGACATCCTTTTTTTTGTTTATTTGGCAGCAGCAAAGGCGAAAAATCATCAGAGTTGAAAAATTGGTCGCTAATTCCAATACGAATTTTGTTAGCTATCACATGCGTATTGAAAAGTTGAGTAAAGTAATGTGGTTTTTGTAGTAAAATTAACGGTCACCATTGGGCACACTGCTACTAAAAATTAAAAATGGCGATTGAAACATCTGCCAGTCAGAACTATTCTTTCGAATATGCATCTCATGTGCATTTTTTACTTTTTTTGTTAGTAATAGAATATGTTCAAAAATAGAATATTTAAAAACAATAAAAAATTTGTATATTTTTATGTAAGGAATCTCTTATAAAACATTTCTCAAAATACGGAAAATATTACAAGGTACAATTCTAAAATATTGAAAAAGTTTAAGAAAACAGCCGGGAAATAAGGCAATTTTCAGAATATCACATGCATATTGAAAAGTTGAGTTAAGTATTGTGACTTTTATAGTAAAATTGACGGTCACCATTGGGAACAAGGCAACTAAAAATTAAAAATGGCGATTAAAACATCTGCCAGTCAGAACTATTCTCTCGAATATGCATCTCATGTACATTTTTTACTTTTTTTTGTTAGTAAATGGGGAATTTTTATGAACATTTTATAATATTCTGAAAATTGCTTTATTTCCCGGCTGTTTTCTTTCAATATTTTAGAATTGTACCTTCAAATGTTTTCCGTATTTTGAGAAATGTTTTATAAGAGATTCCTTACATAAAAATAAAAAAAAAAATTTTACTGTTTTTAAATATTCTATTTTTGAAAACTAAAAAACTACTTGTAAATTAAACTATTCTTCCTTCGATTTTTTTTTAAAAAATTTTTGGCCACTGTTAAAAATACTACAGTTGGTCATTGTAACAAATTTTCCTACACTCTGGCTCTATAAAAAAATGTTATGTGCTGATATACATGCCCAAACGCTCCTAACTTATCCTGACTTCATCTATGTTTATCAAAATAATCCATGTATCGAAAACACCTCTATCGCAGCTGAACACTCTACGGAATTGACTAGGAGATCGCAATAGTGGCGTGTGAGGGAGTTTCTGGGGCCATGAATTCTGTCTTTCTTCTTATGCTTTGATACTTATTGTTTTTTATTTATCATTTTTGCTTGTACTTTTTGCCATTCGAAATAATAATGAAAAAAAAATCGTTTTTCACTTTGCAGATTATGCAAGCACAGTTATTTTTAAGTAACCGAATCAAGGGCGCTGGCAGCGGGGTGCAAGAGGGTGCACTTTCACCCCCTGGCTTTTCTTAAAAAACAATTAGAGAGATACAGAAAAACAATTTTGTTACAAAAAATTTTTGTTAAAAATATTTTTATTCAAAAGCAAATAATTAAGCAATTATTTATACATAACAATTGAAAAATTGTTTAATCAAACAAGAATTGTAATCGTCTTGTTTGCTGTCCAAATTTGTTTATAACTTTTTCAATGAATTCTGAGTCATCTTTGATTCTTTTCTTATGCACACTGAGCATGCGCAAACTTGGCAGATATCTAAGCTACATTTTTAAATTTCATTTAACAAAATATAAATAATATTATATTTTCTATTAGTTATTTAGCTTAACGAAAGTGTATGACACAAACTGACTTCTCACAACTGTAAAACTTCATCAACACAATAAATACCAATGTTAAGCGTGCACAAACGCGTTAGTATACGAAACTACTGTTTGTAGTTATTTGTGTTTCAAAGTCAGTAGCTATACCAGAGCCATCAATACAGTTTCTCGTGGCAAAATGTGCAAGCACAAGAAATTCGTACTTTTTTTTAAATTCCTTGCAAACGTGATGTATCTTGAAAAAAATTAACAGATGAAAGTATATGTAATAACAAAACAAATTGTAATAACAGAATATTTTAATTTTTTTGGGGGGAGGGGGTTAGTTTGTTAGAGGGTTGCTTCCCCTCTTATATTATTCTGCCAGTGCCCTTGAACTGAATGATTTCTGAAAATGAGTACTTTTGTCGCCACTATTAGCTTATCACAAACTAAAAAGTTCAGAGCTTAAGATCATACCGGAGGATGGAAAGGAACCTTTCAATTAAGAGATTAATGTAAACGTTGTGGTTGTTTTTAATGACAATAGTTTGTTAATGACAAAAGTTGTTTTTAATTAAGATAGGCTTGCTAGCCATTGGCCTTGGGAATTACGTCAGGAAGGAGCGTTCGTTTGATAAGATAGCACCTTTAGGGTGAAAGTGTAACCTAGCTCAGAACATCACGGTGGCATCACTCATTCGTGTTTTGCGTGCAACGCATAGGTTATTTATTTTTGCTGTTTTAAATCAATATTTGCACAATGCTTATTATATCTTAATTTTAAAAAATTTAATATTTTAGAAAATTGTACATTTAAAGTTGTATATTTCAAAAAATGAATTGTAACATTAATTTTTATAAATACCCTGTATATAAAATTGGTTAAAATTTGCAGTATATAACTTCTATTTATTTTTAGGACTGCCTAGAAAATTGCAACTTTAATCTTCACATGGAGCAATATGGTTGTGCACCACGTTCAATAAGTATTAGTCACATGGCGAGATTGTGTAAGAAAGGTAAGGATCATCAAGCAGAAGGCAATAGAATCTCGGTTCCTAACACCCTCGGTTGATAATAATTTTTGAATAATGAAATAATTTTTGAAATAATTTTGGTCGATAAACAGATTGTTGATGTTAATGAGATTGTTACATCAAAAACAAAAACCACTCATTTAAAATATTCCAAAATTCCTTATTGAATTAACACTGCGCCACTAATAAACTGAGTGGGGGTATCTCTTCATATAAAAGCCATACTTCTCAAATTTATAATCTCAACTGTATTTAAATTAAAAGAATAAATTTGACTTATTTGAAAAGAATTGTCAGATTTACAAAATGGTAGGAGTTTGTTTTGTCTTGTTAATGCATACAAACTAAATTTTGACCATATCGAAATCAACAGAGGAAACTACAGTTACATTGAACCTTGATCCCATTCACTTATTGTTTTATGTAGCAAAATTTTTCTTCAGAACCACAATCAATTGATTATTCTAGGTTGCTTATAAAATTTAAAATGAATATTAAAAGTTTAAAATGTTTCCTCAGGAAATTAAAATGTGGGCCAACTAGAGATTCTTTGCCCTATTGTAAAATTTAGATACATTATTTATCGTTTAATTTTTTTTTCAGAAAAAACTGTTGCAAATGAATGTAAAATACAAATAACATGCAGAAAAAGTGTCAAACATGAATAACCCATGATATAGATTTATAAGCATTAGATCAAATGAAGATCAAGTTTTCTTTTTTTACTATACATTAAAATATTATGTTATATTTCTGTTCTCTGGAACGGGGAGACTTTAATTCGAATACGATTTTAAAATATATATTTCTTTTCATCAGTCCACCATAAAACAACTTCTATTCTTTTTCAGGTGTAAAAGTGACACAGCGAAATAATGACATTTGTATAAAAAAGTGCAATCGTATGCCTTGCATGTAAGTAATTACAAGACCATTATCAATGTAAGCAATTTCATTCTTGTGTCAAGCTTTTTTTTAAACTTTATTTAGTTATATTCTTCAATTTATTTATATTTTAGTTTTACATAATTTACTTTTAAATATTTTTTTGAATAGTGAATTTTTTTTTTAAAGTACTGTCAATTTTATGATATTTCTGTCGATTGTCTGATTAATACTATTGATTTTACGCTATAAAGTAATGTCAATCCGGGGACCAGTATTTTTTTTACCGTAATTTAATCTGGATTATCCACTTTCCACCACTTTATTCTATGTCTATTCTAACGTTATGTCAATTTAATTTAAGTATTGAGATTTATTTATATACAATAAACTAATTTAGCTTATTACCTAAAATTATTTTGAATATTAAGACCATTTTTTCGTCGTTGAAGATGGAAGAGATTTTAGAAATTTTTCAGAATTGGTCATGAACATTGGCCTATAAAGATATGGCCATAAAACAGGAGTGCCTGCGCTTGCAAATAACTGAATTTAATAATTCTGTCTTATAGAGCTAATAATAAAATCATAAGCAAATCATAAACAAATAAGCTAGATTACAAATGATTAAATAAACAAACCCATAACGTCATACATAAATAAACAAAACATAAATAAACAAAACAAAAAAACTTCCCAGAGTTTTAATTTTTCCTTTGTCCTCTTTCTTCTTCATCCCTTGTAACTTAAACTGTTAGTAACTGTTCCGACAATTGTCTAATGTCGCCATGTCGCCATACTGGCGTGATGTCGGCATACATGTCCTTGTCAAATTGTCTAATGTTGTTAAAATCTTACACACGGGTGACATATTTATCACCTTGAAATATGTTTGGAATTTGCAATAGTAACAAAAAAAAGTTTTTTGCATCGAATTCCATGCATTAAAAAAATTGTACTAATTTTATAGTTCTGCGCGAGTTACAAAATCGAAATGCTTGTTATTCAGTAGAATAGCTGAAAGAGTCTGGTAAAAAAAATTTCAAATTTATATGTTGTGCTGTACACTGCATTCATGTACTGACTGTTCATTTATAGAATAATATTTTTTACTTTTTTAGAATTTACTTTATTTAATATTTCGTAATTCTTCCGGATCAGGGGTTTCCAACTGGCGGCCCGCATCCGGCCCTCGAAGCCTTCTTTTGCGGCTCGCGAACTAAAATATATTAGTTTTCATAGCGGACAATTTTCGTAAAAAGTGTATAAGGGCTTAAAATACTTTTCTCGTTAAAAAAAAAAAAAAAAAAANAAAAAAAAAAAAAAAAAAAAAAAAAAAAAAAAAAAAAAAAAATCTCTAATTTTTTTGTCATCTGTGAAATTTAACATACCGACGGTGCAAAAAAAATTTATTTCTCAGGTTTTAAATCCAAGAAAATATTTATTCAAATACAAAAATAATCTTGTATGTTGCTCTCTTTTTTTATTTATTTTTTTTTTTTAAATTTTATTTTGTGAATATAATTTAGCATGTGCGTATCAGAGATTCTCCAATTTAGCTTTTTGAAACCACTTATTTTGGACGAAATTATTTACATTTGTAGATTTTAAAGTGCATAAAGAGGGAATGAATGTCATGTTTCATCTAAATCCCGTGAATTGAATATCGCATGAGCGGAAAAGAGAAAAAAATTAATTTCAGATGCTCGAGAATTTTTTAGTTGTCGCTATAATTCCTAATAAGTCGAAAAAAAAGTTAATTTATCACAGAATTAAATTTGAAAGTAAAAAAAATCTTGTCACTAAGTTTCAGATTAAGAGAAGATTCAAAATGATACGTAACAAGCATTATTTGTAATGCTTGTTATTTTGTCTTTTTTTTAATATTAAAAAAACTTTTATAAAAATCTGACAGCAATATTTAATGTTCCTTCAAACATAAAAGAGTCCTATATAAAATTTTGATAAAGTTGTGGCCCGTCATTTGACTGGTGTTTTTAATTGCTGCCCCCGGCCTCATGTAAGTTGGAAACCCCTGTTCTAGATAATTAATTTTTAATATAATATTTTGATATCTCTTAATTTCTCTCTTTTCCTCACTTATTTATTTCGTCTCAGAGTTTCGTTCCTTGATGTTAAATTTATTTACAAACATAATTTTGGCTTTTTTCACTTAGCTTTAATAAATACTAATTTACAATAATTATGAGGAAATGAACCTAATTAGTTTTAGGGTGTTATATATACCATTAATAATTTTTGATGGGTACTGCAAGATGGATTATGTTATTGTAAAGTTCGTTTCTTTCCCTCAAGTTTGTCTACCGTATTAAGTGTTTGGACTACTAAAAACGAATTCCTAGGTGGTGTGAATCCTAATTGTTACCCATGTTTTTATAAGCAGAGTGAAGCTCTTCATTTGAATTTCTTTTTATTTACTAATGCAATTAGCACATGGTCACAAATTCCATAGGTAAAAAAATACTCTCCCATGGATGTTTAAAAATTAATGATGTGGTGGAGAAGGATACTTTCTACTGCCTTACAAGAAGTTAAATTACCTTTGGTCATTAATAATGCTCTGCCACCTCGAGATGCGTCTCTAACCTGACTGAAAGCCTTCTCATGATTGCCAGACCAGACAGCAGAATCATATTACGGTAGCACATTTTTGAAAACGCAGTGGCTCACACCAAAATCTCGTAATGAAGGATCCATCTTGTACTCTAGGACAGTGTTCCCCAACCTTTTTATCACCGCAGACCTGTAAACGTTTGATAATTTTACCTCGGCTCGCTGGGGNGGGGACGTTGATTGTTTATATTTTAGATTATTTTGATTTATTAATTTTAATTTAATTGTATTTAAACATGACTCCAAAATAAAATACAGTTACACCAAAAATTAAATATAAAGTGATTTAACATTTTAACTTACTAGAACGTTAAAATCAATGAGAACCCTGAGCTTGTTTCTTTGCAATGAGACGATTCCATCTGGGGTAAATCGGAGACAATGATACATTACAAACACTAAAAAATTTATGTCAATACCTTCGGGGGCCCCTTTTTTTAAATGAATAAAATTTTAATGGAACACAGATGTTTTTAATTTGGAGTATAAACCTAGAAATTTAAATTCAATTTCAATGAAATGCCCGGCCCGGTACCATTTGATCCATGGACCGGTACCGGTCTGCGGACCGGTGGTTGGGGAACACTGCTCTAGGAGATATTGACTATAGTACAATTAGGAAGTGTACTAGTAGTTTAATCGAATTCGCTTCTCCTACCCTTTACAAATAAGCATTAAAAAATAATTTTTTTAAAAAATAATTTTTTTAAAAATTAATTCTTAAAAATCAATTATCTTACAGATCTCGAATGTTTAAATTTAAGCACCTAAAGAATAAAATACTGGTAAGTGTTTTTTTTTTCTATAGTTAAAAATATTATTCACTTGTAAAAATTATAATGCCATTTACAAATAAATTTGATCATATTTCGGTTTTATAAATTAATTTTAAGATTTTCACATTTGTTGAGTACAATAATAAAGCTGTCAGCAACTACAAATGCAATTTTTTTTTCTGTATCATGGACAGCAATTCACGGTTATTGAAAAAAACTATAAAAATAAAACATATATTTAAAAAAAATGTTTCTTAAATTAGGTGTAAGATCATGGGGAAAATCCTTTTTTATCAATTGTGTAACAAATATAAATATGTATCCGTTTGCTTTAGAACACAAAAAATCTCATGATTTCATGACTTGATCTCACTTATTAACAGTCCATATGTCGCATACCACATATTTTACGAATGCATATTAATAAAAATACTTTATTTACCTTTCATTAAACTATTAAAAAATGACATTTTATTAACATCTATATCGATACATTTATATCGATATCAATACTAGTACTTTAAAACTAAAATTAAAACTTCAAGTTCTAAATAAATGTTTTATTGTACAAATAAACTGCGTTAAAAGTCTTATAAAACCAAAGAAACATTTTTGAAAACTAAAGAGCCATATCCTAAGAAATGAAGGAGTATTTAAATACAAAAAAGAGATATTTTTTCGTATGTTTTAATCTAATAAAAATATTAATTATTCAAGCATTCTTATTCTTCTTCTTCATTGGCCTGACAGCCCAGGATGGGCCCTTGCCTTCCGCAGAGTTGAACTCCAGGCTCTTCTACACTTGGCCAGAGACATCCAATTTGTGACTTTTAGAATATTTAAATCACTTTCGAGGCAGTCGAGCCGTCTAAGTTTAGGTCTTCCTCTTTTTCGAGTGCCTAATGGTTTATTCAAGCATTAGCATTACTATTTATAATAATACTATTTACACTAAAGCAATTTACAAAATTTCAACGACGGTTATAAAATATGAGAGTGTTGAATAGTTTAAAATGACAAATTTTGTGAGAGTGTGCTGTAAAAGAAAATGCAAACTATTTTCAAAACAATTGCTCTTAGTTTCATGGAAACGATGTGTTTGTTTTGGGGGAAATGTTTAAAAGCTTTGCATTAAAAGTGTTTTTGCAGGAACTCATAATTCAGTTTCATGTGTTTTAAAATCACGGAAAAATATATTTTTGTGCACTTTCATTACCTCTTCATCGCATTTCAAAATGTATGAAAATTGTCATTATTAAATTTCTATTGGCTGTCTTTAAACAATCAAATGTGGTTAATTATTCAAATATGGTTATTGTGATTTTACACGCTTATATGAATTAATCAAAATTAATGTTCTTTTTAAATTTTAGGATAAAAACTATACTTATCAAGAAATGAAACAGAAATCGATTGGACTTTATGAAATGTAAGCTTTTTTTCTGATTGGTTAAACGTCAGCCGCACTGTTTGAAATATCTCGAAGGAAAAAAAACGATTAAATAACAATTTAATTAATTGTAATTTTACCATAGTTAAACGAAACTGTCAAATAACTACAAATAAAATGATATTTAAGTTGTTCACTGTGATAAAAACCGTTTACAAATTGTTTTCACCCAGTAAGGTTAAACAATCAGAATTTTATCGAGCCAACCAATTCACCTAATAAAACCACTTTGTTCCTAGCAGATAGGTACACATTATACCCGAGAGGACTAATTTATCATTCTCATGACTGACAGAATTGGTGTTCTATTCCCAGCGCTGGCATTTCAATATTTTCTCCATTCCCTTCAACACCTGAAGAGTTTCCATGTCCTGCACTTCCTAATTTGTGACCTTGGGCTGTTAGAATATACTTACCTTCATTTGCGTATAAATGGCAGCAGCATAAAGCTACTAGAGTATCTCCAATGTCACATTAAATTTCTTTTTTTACGGTTCTGAAACCATGCTAATTGTAAATGGTTTTAAAAACCGTATAGTATTGTATTCACGGTTTTTTTAACTATACTTAGTTGTAAGTGGTTTCAAAACCGTAAAAGTGAAAAACGCTCTTTACCGTTAACTTTACTGTTAATTTAATGGACAAACTGCTGCCGATTATTTTACTATAAATTAGAAGGAAAATTATAAGAGTTCATTGTTTTAAATTTAACTATAGACGATTCAATTTTTCGAATATTTTGAAGTTTACTCTTTTTTATAAAGTAGAGCTATTAGTAAGCAAATATCTTCGATATTAAATAAATAGTCCCAAGAATATGAAGCAGTTAGATACTTACTGGCTAAAACATTCATTCGCTTCAAAAATACATAAAAAAGTAAATAACAGTCGACATGTTTCAAGTGCTTAAAAAATAAGAGCCCATTTTTGAAGCGCTTGAAACATATAGTTATGTTATAATTAAGAGCTAAAAATTAGGCTTCTCAAGTTTAAGACGCATTTAAGCTGCGCGTTTCTTTTTCTTGGCGTAAGAGCTTCGAAACAAAAACCTCTTAAATTGATAGGTTTTGGAGATATACGTAATTAAAAAAACTTTTTACAAATTGCAATCTAATGTGATAAATATTTTTCCTTCAACATTCATTTTTTTCCTTCTTTATTATATTTTTATTATGTTTGTCAGTTGAAGAAATCATTCAGAAGGATTGAAAAGTCAGAGAAAAGTTCTTATTATGTTTATCAAAAACTAATTACGTGCAAACTAAATAAGGTTTAATTGTTCTTTTTTCAAACGCTGATGCATGTTATTTCAGAATCTTAAGCATTTAGAATCCATGACGAAAAAGAAATGAAAAATATGATAGTTATTAGTGTAAGATTATTATTCCAATATCAGTTCAGTTGCTTGATTTAACTAAAGTATGATAAAAAGGTGTTTATTAATATATTTTAGTTCCACGTGACAATCGAATTGATTTTCTTGATTTCAATTTTATCTTAACTCTGATTGAACACGATAATTTTTTATCATCTTTCGTCATGCCTTTTCAAATTCAGTTTTTTATGATTCCAAGCGCAATTGTATAATTTTGTAAAAATTTTACTGAGATTGAAAAGAAATTTTATTAAGTAATTTGATTATGAGACACTTTGTATATAGTGTTTAATAATATTCTTCAGCTTTTCAAAATGCTTTTTTACTTAATGAACGAGAACCGGACCAAATTTTATAAGAACATCTAATTACTGAAAGTATTTATTTTTCATAAAAAATGACAATTATTATCACTTACTTATTTTAGTACCCGAAATATAATGATCTCTGTGTCATTCAGGAATATGAAGGCTAGAATTACAAAGTTAATTCCAAAAATGGTGGTAAGTCAACTTTGCTTTGCTTACAAAATTTGTCAAAATCTGTATACAACTAGTGACTATTAATATCCAGGACAATCTAATAATTCTCGAAAGTTTTATCATAATTACAAATCATTTCATTACGTTTCTAAGCAACCTCCATCTGCTGTAATTCATGTCTATATTGTACTTGGCTGTCAAAAATAACTTAAGTTCGGAACACTCCTTAACTCATTTTTATGACTTCAATATTTCTAAAATTCATTCATTTAACAATTTTCTTCTCGTTTTAATGGTTGTGAAGGTTACTTTACATTTTATTCTACACTTATATACAATACATATGCACATACCATACAAAACTGTCAAAGAAACAAGATTTAAAGATGTCGAAGACATTAGGAAAAAATCAACAGCTGAATTTAAGAGAATTCATTGTGAGGACTTTGAAAGTTGTTGCTGAGACTTTCATATCTGTGCATGGAAGTGCTTATCGATAAGGGGGATGACATAGTAAATGGAAAATGTAGCTAACATAGCATTTTTAGTAGTTATTAAACTTCTAAAAATGAGTATCCTGTCAATACTCATCAGACTAACTGAGGGAGGTTGCTTGGCATCTATACTGGTATCACCTGGCTATACTGGTATCACCTGGCTATACTGGTATCACCAGTAATCAAATAAACTTATTTATTGTAAGCTATTTATTTACCGCGAAGATTCTACATCAACAAGCGTGTAGCACTAACCTTTAAATTTTCAGCCGCTTCGTTAGCATTAGACTAGATAATCTCATTTATTTTTCAAGTGGCGAAAGGTAAAAAATGCATGATATCAGCATAGCTAAAGAGCTATAATTCGGTTTATAGTTGCTCTTATTACTTACATGGTTTTCTTATATAATAAAGGACAATTATTATAACGATTTTCTTTTATTCATACCGATTTTCTTTTTCAATTTTTTTTAGCCGTTTGACAGACTTTTTTTAGACTCTAAATTTTAAAAAAAATCGAAATTTTTAAGTTGAAGGAATATCCGAGGAAGAGATTAGGAAAAAAATTCCCCAAAGGTATAAACGAAACAATGAAAACTTTGCTTTCAAGCCGCTTGAAAATTTTTTAAAATAAAAACAATTACATTCTCTTTTTAATTCCTGTATAGCTGTTTGTCATATAAAATAGAAATTCAGTTCTAATTGTTTTAACTGATATTTTTTAGCCTATCGACTTGTTTAGCAACATCGGAGGATTCTTGGGTATTTGGATTGGTTCTTCTCTCATATCTCTTTCTGATTTATTGTATAGACTGACTGATTACATTGTGTTTCATGTAAAAAAGAACAAGTACTGAAAAGCCATGGCAGCATCACGATTGTGAGAATTCAACAGAAGCAATGTTTTTCACCAAATGCAAAATTATTTTCGCTTGTTTGTTCGATATCTTATACAGACTATCTGATTCTATATTCTTCTACAGCAAGAGTAGCATGCAATGCATAGCATAAATTGAAAATTTTAACTTTATTCTGAAAAACTAGATTATATATAAAGTGCCTGAAATTAGAAATGAGACACAATACATGTGCCTGACTGTATTCACTGTTTTCATACACGATCCACAATTGGATCTACTGTTTTCATACATGATCCACGATTGAAACCTCTTATTTTTTACCCGATCCACCATTGAATCCACTGTTTTCATACACGATCCACAATTGGATCTACTGTTTTCATACATGATCCACGATTGAAACCTCTGTTTTTATACCCGATCCACCATGGGATCCACTGTTTTCATACACAATTCACTGTTGAATTTGTAGCTTCAGAAACAAAGTGTCCTGAATACGATTTGTGCGACATTTTGTCTCTTGGTTCGTTTTTAAAGAGCTCCTCAATAAGGATGACCAAGGATTATTTCAGTTATAGCTTATTTATTTCATTATTCTGGATTAATAATTGCTTGAAATAAAGGATTTATTTACAAAATTATACATGAGCTGTAGAGTATAATGTTTCGGAGCGCTATTGCTCCCTTTTTCGTTCCTACTTTTTCTAGCATAGTTCAACTAAAACTCAATTCTTCTGCGTTCAAAACTAATCTGCCCCAGAAAATATCTTTCTCATAAGAAACAGTCCTTTGCTCCACCCCCAATGTAGGGGACGACACTTCCAGTGTCCTTCACCCTCTGACCCTCAGGTCAAGGGGTCAATAAAATGCGTGGGAGAGGAATCAGGACCCTGACAGAGTTGGTTTTCAAAAATTTAAAGCAGTAAAATGGTTAAGGTAAAAAAAATTCTTGCACCAAATTATTGTGAAAAACTACAAATTCTTACTCCCAAAAACTTTTAAGATGGCTCTGCAGAAGGAAAATATGAAAGTCACGAAAATGAAACTTTTGAAACCTTTTAATGTATGGAAAATTGCATTGCAAAATTGTTGTAATGTCTATCATTCAACACAATCCTAAAGAAGCATTCATACAGCAAGCGTTTGTCCTAGACGCAAGCGCGAATGTTTAGAAGCTACAAGCAAGATGAACTGCCTGAGCATGCGCCAATCGTGCAAACGCTTGCAGTGAGAATGCTTCATAAATCGCAATGATAAACAATAAGCGAATGAAATCATCAGGCATTTTTTGTGAAAGTTTTCAATGGAATAACATCACTGATATTATTTTTCAAAGTTTTCAAGTGACCGAGAATTTTTCTACACACTGCACCTCTAAACTGATCTAGAAGAAAGCAAATTAATTTCGTTGAATACAATGGCCAGGGTGTGCCTTTTTCTCTGAAAACACATTAGATTAAAGCAAAACATGATTATAAAAGTGTTCCTAATGTAATTTGAAACCCTCAGTAGTCTGATAAGACCGTGAATCACTTTCCCGGTTCAAGAACGTGTTTCTTGTCATTGTATGAACTAGTATATTGCGGTTGATTCTAAAAGAAACATTTTCAATGTGTATAAAACCAAGAAAATTTTGAACATGCCATTTTGAAGATACTACATCATGTAGGTAAAAAAAAGAGTAATTACGACTATATAAGAAGATGATCATACATAAAATTCATGAAAATAAAATGATTGTAAATAAGCATCCAAAGTTCACCGAATTAGACAATTTTGCTTATTGGTAATTTCATCGTATTGAAAGTGTGCTTAAACATAATGAAAAACATCTACTTTACACCAATATTTCCACCAACAACCAATTCCAACTTTTCATTTTCAAAAGTGTTTCTTTGTTTACGGATATTCAAGCGTTTGATTTTAAAAACTAAGACTACAAACTTTATTTTTAACCTTACCAGTTTTTAGGTTAATAATTTTTGAAAATCAGTATTAAGTAATAAGTCTTTAAAATTTATTTTTTGCTTTAAAATGTTGTTTGTTTTAGATGTGTGTATTCTTATAACTTAAACAATAACCATTCTGATTTACTTGTAAATTTTTTTGGTTTTAATAAATGCCACTGGGGGGGGACCTCGCCGAGCCCCTCGACCGGTGCGTGCTCCGGTGCCTGAATCGCCCCTCCTCTCCCGAGGGGGAGGAATGTCGCGGAGACGAGTCGACCCGGTTCTACCCGCATACCCACATTTGGGGGGGGG